AAATGGCAACAGTGATCTAAAATTTCTCCATCGTTTAAATTTCCACAAAACCTTAGAAAAGGTAACGTATAAATTTCCACAAAACTTTACAAAATGTAGGTTATTTTTTTGCACAGCCGAGGAGAAGTCCTTTTCTAACTCTAAAAACTCCAGTGAACACTCGACGTATAATTTGTATAAAATATTATAATTTTTTATAAATTATTTATTTATTTTATTATAAATTTTAAAAATATCAAATTAGTACTTCTATAAGAGTTTATTGTTTAAATTTTAATAAAATTAATATTTTATTTTATTTTATTTTTATTTACAAAAAATAATATTTTTATAACAATATTTTTTTTAATAAAATTTTTAATAAAAATTTCAACCACGTTAAACACATACGTAATCTACTTGGATGAGAATCAAGTCCAACTGTATCCCTCAAAAGGCTCGTGATCTTCAACCATGTGATTCACGCACTCATTCTTTTTTCCTTTTTCATTTTTTTTTGGGCGAAAGATTCATTCACTCATTCTGAATCTTTCATCCGATATGTCAACCTGCTGCCAGTCATACAGTTACCCACCATAAAACTCATCCATGACAAATTGGGGAATGTATTTACGACGGAAGCACAAAATCCCTTCACCCTGAATGGTGGCTCAGAACCAATCTAAAAAACATCTTTCCAAAAGCATATATATACTTGCATCCCAAATCCATACTCTAATGGAATCCACTTACCTTGTGCAGTGGTAAGAAATGAGACTGTTCTCTCGTTATTGTACTTGTAATCACAGAATCAGAATGAGTATCCCTTTCTTGGATGGGTCTGAAAAATAAACAATATACCATAATAAAGATTTGACATCCAATGATAAAAATTTACTTAGACATATCTTGAATTCAAGAAAAAGAAAATGATCATTACCATAGACAGTCTTACATAATCCATTAACTTAGAACCTTATAGAGGATTGTCAGCCTTCAACTTGGTAACTATAGCCAATATTAATTTCTCTCATGAGTTTGAAGGAAATCATTATAGGGCCACAAGAGAAGAGAGATGGATAAAGGAAAAACAAATAATCTTACTACAACAAGCAATGGCATTGCTCTCAAATATGGGACCCTTTTGGTTCCAGCACAGGAACCTAGAAGAACAAATTGAAGATAAACCAAACCCGAAATATGTCTAGAGAATGCTCATTAGCAACAATCTAGTCGCAGACAAGTACATTTCCAATAGGGTTTATCTTCAAAAATTCAAGAGTTTTGTTTGGTACACTCATCTCAAATTTCTCAATTAGTTTCACATCCACACCACTGTACTCGCAACAATTAGTATTTTAAAGGCATTTTGCTTGTCTTACCTGCAAGCAATACCTGAAATGTCATCGAACAACCACATTAACCAAGAAAACTAAAGTGTTGCTTACGTAAAATACAGAAAATTTATTTATTTATTTATTTTAAAAAAGACGACAATTTTGTTGCTAATACAATATATAAAAGACCAGCAGATTTGTAGGAAAAACCCCCCAAACCAATATTTGCAATACCTGGAAGATATGTGGAAAAACAAAAGCAAGGAAAAGTTCCGATGTCAAAATTCCCCACAAAGTAGAATGGGTCAACACACCTATTTGCTGTAACTGACCTCAACCATCACACAAAGAAGAGAGTAAAAGAAATTACTTCATTTTCCGAACGATTTGTGTTCTACAGCAAAGAAATTAATTCAATCCGGTATCCAGGTTGGACACAAAACATATTTCAATACTGAACTAACTAAGACATATATTATTGATGGAAAGATTATAACATTAAACTGAAGGGTTCCATCTCCTACCATACAAAAGGCAGTACTCAAATCACTTAAATCACTCGTCATTGTTACTAAAATTAGTAAACCCATCTACTACTATTAGAATTTTGGGGCAAAGATGCATAATCCCCTAAATCGTTTGATTACCGTACATGCCAAATGAACATGAATAGCAAATACAAAATGGATTAACATTTATTCATGAGGAAACTCTAATCCAAATAAGGAGCTTTGAAAATAATTCAAACAAAGAAAGAACTTGAATTTAAGTCAACCCACTTCAAACCCACTTTGAATCGTAAAAAATAGATAATTGAATGAGAAAAATTTAAAAATTAATGGATATATTTTTCATTTAGAAGTCTATGTTATATAGTTGAATACAATTTAAACTGTATAATAATTTTTTAAAATTTATTATTATTGTCTCTTTTTTAATATATGTCATAAAGTTAAAACATTAATTTTACCCTTCATTCAAAGATATTAATAAGGGAAAAAAATTTCATGCAAACCAAACACTTTCTTACTGTATACAGTATATATATTAGTTTTTTTTTCCTCTTCTTTCCTTCATAGGGTTTAATGGTCTGTTTGATTGAAAATTAAAATGCTTAATCTTAAATTCTTCATTAATAATCAACTAATCAATTAATACAATGAGTTTAAATTTACTTTGCGAATTTGATCCAATTATAGACGTCTCAAAAAATTTGAAGGTTTTTTTTCCCCTTTTTTAATAATTAATGGTGAGTTCTTTCTTCTTCTTTTTTTAACATGAAAAATTTTTAGAGAAAACGAATAATTTAGTTATTATTGTTGCGGATAGAATTTCTAACAATCATCAAGAATTTGATATACTTTAATTAAGGTGGTTGAAATCAAGTTGGTACCTTATTTAAATTAATTACATTAAATTAAATTAATTTACCTCTCTAATCTAATCTAAAATATTCTATTTATGTAGAAAATGATTCATGGAGAATTAAAATCTTATAAACAAACCAACCCGATTATGCCAAGTAGTTCACCTCCTTGCTCTTGAGCCTAAAAGCTCGGGAGTATGAGGATGCATGGAAGCTCTCACCAGTTACTTGGTAAAGAATTACTCCTTTCCCCCCGGCCCACAATTTCCGATGTTCAAAAAAGAAAAGATTTCTGTAGACTTTTGTCTGAGAAATTTAATCACGGTTCAAAGGCGATTTAAATTTAATTAAGAAAAGCAAATATACATAAATTAACAGAAGAAAATAGCCCAAATCTGTCGTTCAACATAAGATAAAAGGGCAGTAATCAACAAGAAAAACCCAAAAACATTTCACAAAAAAAAAAAACCCAAAAGCATAACCCTTAATGACCTAAACCGAACTGACTCGACATGACATGACAATATGAAGAGACAAACTCTAACCGCCCTTCGACTTAATTATGCAGTAGGATAGATCTCTACGCGCCGGCCTAGTGATTAAGGTCACTGATTAGTAAGAATCAACTTCTTTTGAGTTCGGTGCTTAACCCCATAGGATCCCCTTCGCCGTTCTCCAGTAGCCCTAGAATATGTAGTAATTGCCTTGTTTCAATATATATATGTATAGATATATATATATATATATATATGCGATAGGATAAGTTCCATGAGGACCATGACAGAACAGAGCGAAACTGCTCTCCTTGCATCTTTGGCTAATTAAAGCTGGAGTATAATTTGGGTGATATCGTCCACCGCTTCAGAGATGAAATGCATGTCATCAGAATGCTGGTCCAGTGACATCTTCAAGAGGTCCTTCTCAAATTTCATCTGTTCCATTGCAGATATAATTTGTGATGTCTCCTCTCTTAAGCGGCACATCTTCGCCCTCTTCGCTGCAGCTTTTGCTTTCATCCTCTTCAGAGTCTTGTTTGAAAAAATTAAAGCAATGAAACTATATGTCAGTAAACTCGTGGGGACATTATGCGTTAAAAATGAAATTGCTAGGATTTGTTGGAAAAAATAACTATGCAACCATACCCTGAGCGTGCCCCTCAGTCTTCCATTACGGTTCTCCCTTGTTCCAGCCATTCCAATTTTTTCTTGCTGTCTCGGTGGTACCTAATAAATGGAGAATATCGATGTTGAAATATAATGCGAAGGGATTGGAAACGAAATTAAGAACTAAAGTTGATGTTTACCAACCTGATACTGAATTTGGTATTTCTGTTTCAATACTCTATACAACTCTATAATTGGGTGAGATATACAACCTCTGAGGTCTGAGCACACCAATATATAGAGTACTACTCTTCTCAAGTGAGATTTGAGGATGTGGGAAAGGAAAACGCGTATAGGAGACAAAAAAAACAAAAACAACAACTCTTCATTTCATAGATTTCAATGGAGAAATCTTTTCTACCGTCTTTGCTGTGAAATTTCTATGCTGTCAATTTCAATTCGCAGCAAAGACAGCAGAAAAGATTTCCCCAAATTTCAAAAGAAGAAAAAGTCTCCCCAAATTTCAAATATATTATTTTGTTAGGTAAAATCAATCAATCTCTCCCAATGCATTAACACCCTCATGCAGAAATAGATCGCAAACAAAGGAGACAAGATGTCCCCAAGGAAATTTTCTGCTTTCTATGCTGTCGTATATTTGGATATTGATTAATTTTATATATAGAAAAAAAAATATAATATAGTTTAAATTGTATAAAATTATATTATATTAATCATTGAATATAAATTGAGCTCTTGGGACTGTTTTCTCTTTCATTCAATAATTTTTATTATATAATTTAGTACATTTTAAATTGTAAACTAAATATATTATTTGATTATTGATTAATGGGTAAATTGTACTTTAATGTAATTTATTACTCCTTCAATTTCAAAATATAAGTTAATTTGAACAAACCGCTCCGGTCTAGTGGTATTGAACTTTGGGTTAGGACTGTTCACCTCTAATGAATTACACGTTCGAACCCCACGAAATCCTTTTCTTTCCTTCTCAATTAACCTTGTAAATAATTACAAATTATTCAAAAAAATATAAGTTGACTTACTTTTTTTTACATATTTTTAAGTCATGTTTTTTTTATAATATATGAAAGATAATTAAAAATTTTTATTAAATAAAATTACTCTATAAAAATTATATAAAAAAAAACCTTCAATTATCATTCACATGCTTTAAAGAAAATATTACCCAAAGTTACGTATAAAAAGTGTTAAACAATTTATATTTTGAAATAAAAAAACATTTATTTTTATATTTACTTATCCGAAAATCTATATAAAGGTTATTATATGTAACTTATTATACATCTCTAAATTATAATAAGAATACTTGTAACATCCAATTCAAAAACTCCCATAGAGACGAAAGTACGATTATTATTATTATATAAAATTGAAGACTAACTGTTATGAATTTAAATTTTTAAGGGCTTGTGAATTGAAACACTTTATTGCTTCTCACTTCTCAGTATTATTCTTCTCTGGTGGGCTTCGTGGATGTGGGAAAAGAAAACGGGTACAGAAAAGAAACTCATTTCATGTATTTCATTGGGGAAATCACTTTTGCCTTCTTTTTATTGCCCAACTAGATATTTCTTTGTTGTCCTTTTCTGAAGAAGGGTGGTATTGAGGGATTATGATTGATTGGCTTTCAAAACTGGTTTGTTTCAACTTACTATCATTTTAATGTTTGTATTACCAAAAAAATTCATGGTAATGTTAGAAAATGTTGTTTAATGCAAATAATTAAAATGATTTGTTTTAGTCAGCGATAAATATTTCATTAA